GTATAAACAACTGTGTTAAATCATTTTCATTTATTCAGAAGACACAGCACTGCGCACCGTACCCCCCACCCCTCCCGCGCACAGTCGCAGGTGGTCTCAGTTGCGGTTCTGAAATAAGCATTTTAAAATGTTTTCAAAATAAGTCTGGCACTTTGGAGAAAACCCGGGACTCACTGGAGGGATTATGTATCCCCTCAGGCCTGGGAACGTCTCGGAGTCCCCCAGGACGAGCTGGAAGGTGTCGCTGGGGAGAGGGGGTCTTTCTGCTGCTGCCCCCGCACCCGATAGCGGATAAGCTGGCCAGACGGACAATTTATATTGTTAGTCTAAATTATTACATYTAAAATTATAACTCTAATTCAAGCAGAATAGCCTATTGTCAACATAATTATGGAGTGTGATTTATTTTCAACTCAAAATATCTTCAAACTAACGAAATATAAGGTTATTAATGAAGAAAACCCGTCTGGATAACAGCAGACTGACTGCTCATAAAATATACGACAGGTCTGGACCACTAGTAAATTTTGTTCGTATCTGAAAAAAATCTTAGAATATGAAAACATTGGTGAATGGCACAAATTCTCCTAAATCACTCGTACGCACAATTTAAGAACAAATCCGTGTGTACGAACGGTTCTTGCATGAGGCCCATTGTGTATATTGAGACTCTGTTTGCACCAAAACACATTTATCTTGGGAACCCAGAACCCATCTCCTTCCTGAAGGATGTGATGGCGGAACATTCCCATTCCATTCATTCTTATTATTGTTATTATTCATGAGCAATAATAGTTTGGTCTTCAGAGTGACAGAACAATCTTTAGTACAGATGATCTTGTTTCAGTTTTGTTCACGTTTAGCTGACTTTGCATGTGTGTAACTTAATGTTTAGTGGTATGCATGTCACCTGGAGGACATGCAGGGTAGATTGGAAGAGGAGAACCAGGCAGTATTCCTGGAGCATTGTCGATTGGGGGTGGGGGTGGGGGGGGTAAGGTGTGACTCTGCTTTCAGGCATCTCTTTTATCCCCTTTCCTTCATGAACCAGTGTCCCGTGAAATTGGGCTCTAAATTACAAGACTGTGTGAAGGTTTTAAAAACAATTCGCTCAGCTGCTAAGGACATTGACTGGACCTCAACATTCAGCAGCGGCCCGTCAGTGGGCCTGACTTGGTTTGGGACTGGTCCAGTGCTAATAAACAAGTAGAATATTTCTCTTTATAACTTTGCAGAGGATGCACTGGTTTTATCTGCTTCATCACTGTCATCATTATCAGCTCTGGCCCATGACAGGGATGGTTACGATTTTGGATTTGGAGTTATAGATCAAAGCTGTTTCTTCTGTTTGCCTTGCTGTGTTCTTCTCTCTCTGGTAAAACATTGTCTTTATTTGAATAATAAACTCTTATCTCAGTGAGTTACTGTTGTGCTTCTGACTGCATTCCCTCACTGTTTCTCTCTTCTTCCTCTCCACTTTGTCTTTAATCGCACACACACACACACACACACCCTCCCCCCTCCCCTCAATGAGTTTTTATCTACTATCCTGGCCCTCACCTCTTGTTGTCCTTCTTTCCCTCCACAGAAAAGAAAGTAGAGAGATATTAGATTCTTAAATATCACTTGAGTTATTCTTTTCTTTTCTATCAGGCTGTTGAGCTCATGCTACAAATTCAATCTACTCTCTCTATTGAGCTGTAAACATCTTGCTTAGATGGATTCCTCTCTATAGTTTAGTGGTAGTGAGCTATTTTCCTTTCAGTAAACTGCCTAACATTAGATTTTTGTCAGAAATTCGCATTTAGGCTGACAATCTCTAGTAATTCACAATAATAAAAACATTGTAATAGATGGACTGATAGCCATCAGTTACAGTCACATGTACATTGATTCTGTTCCGCCTTCATGTCCCAGATGGAGATATACCCTCCCATATGTTTGAACACGCCCAAATGTTGTGCTCGAAAAGAGCATAATGAAGGGCTGAGCTTGGAAGCAAGTTCTTGTCTGATTGGTTGATTCGTATGCTGGAGGGGCTTTTGTCAGAAAAAGCCATTTGTCAGCAAAATCTGCCACTCAGGTTGAAGCCTACAAAATGTGGACAAAACTCAATTTCAGCATTAATGGAATAATAACACGGTCAATGTGCTGTCTACTGGAGCAGAGCAAAAGGTCAGCCTGGGGTCAAACTTTTGAATGCTTAGTTCCAGACCTTGTGGGCTCAGCACTTAATTCAAACCCATTGATAATTAAGGTTTTTGCTAAATTCAAAAGAAATTTTAAAAAAAATTACCATCCCATAGTTAYATTCAAGTCTTTTATTCACCTGCCTTGAACTTATCAAATGAGTCTGAAAGATGAGCTGCATTTGTCTTGTGTTAATAAAACCCTTTTTAATATTGTGATAGTAACGTACATTTCTTTATTTCTCAGGGTTACTTCTTGCTGTTTGAATCCATGTTGGACACTGTCCTGCATGCCAGAGACCTTTATTTGGCTGACGATGGTTCAGGTAAGTTGAAGCTGATAAGTGTTCAGTATCTTTTTAAAAAAATATGCCAAAAAGACATAAATGTCTCATTTATTAGAAGAGTGACAAAACACTAAAAAAAGGGGGCATGATGATATGATTTATTCTAACAAATGTCTTTGTTTTTTTTTATCCAATGACAAAGCTTTTAAATGGATTTGTGTCCCCAAATGATTTTGTTTTATTTGTTAAGGGTGTGGCTTTTTTTTTGTTTGTTTTTTGTTTTTTGTTTTTTTTCCTGTCACTGAGTGGTACCACGTCCTTCACATCGTATTTGTTAGATCTTGTGCCAGCTGGTAAGTTTAGTTCACAACAGTCCACAATAGAAGGTACAACAAATTTGAAAATGAGAATATTAATTTTTTAAATCTTTCTTATGCCATTAGAATCAGCAACCCTCGACCTATTTACTACATTCTGAAGAAGTTTTCAATTACAATGTGAACCTTATTTTTAACTTAACCATTTTTAATAAAAATATATGTAATAAATATCATCATATTCTCTTAAACTTAGGGTAAATCAGCCTGTTCTTTCTGCAGAACTGACAAATGTAGCTTTGACTAAATCACCTGGGTTTGTTTGGTCTCTGTACTTGTTTTTATTTTGCTAACAACTTGACAGAAGTCTTTAGATATCTGTAATAAAAGATGGGCATTTTTAATTGCAAATTTGAGTCTGAATATTAAAACCTGGTTGTTCACTGATTCAGTGGCTTGATGTACATGGAAATGCACTCTCCGTTTTGTCACCCTATCACTGCCACAGATTTAATGACTTGTGCCAAATGTGTCCAAGCTGAGGAACGGTTCCACCACACTGCCTTTACTGGCTCTTTGGGACCTGAGAGTGGTCACATGTACACACAGGCAAACACACATGCACACACACACACACAGAGGGACAGCTACAATGACAGGGCCTATAGAGACAGATATACTGCTGGAAAAGATTGGACAGGTGAGACGTGACCTAAGCAAGGCAAAAAGTTACAGGTCAAAGGTGTCCAGACTGTTCGTCATGAGCCTTAAGCATTGATGGTCCCCACGCAGTGTGCTTATCCTGAATGCGCTGCCCGCCATAGGAGGTGAAATGAAACACACTCAAAATCATTAAAAAATGCATGCAGCCTAATTATCTGTTCTGCCAAGGGTGAAAAACAAATTGAATTTGGGTTAGAGGATGAGAGCCCARGACAAATACACAAATGAGCACTAAGCAATTGACTACAAATATCTTCTAAGAAAAAGGAAAATGAAAAGTAAAAATAATGGCATGTAAATATACAAAGCATAAGGAGTGAAAAGTGAAGTACTATCAGTGCAGATAACAATAAATCCACCAGTTCACATAAAACACAATGGTTTCTGTAATCAGGTGTTAAAGAATCTGAAGCAAAATTATCACTGTTCTGTGCCTCTATCATCAAAGGCAAAAAACACTATTTTCAAATAAATGTAGTAATTTGTCAGCTATTCTTTTAACACCAGTATAAAAAAGAAATATTAAATTTAATTCAACATTATGTTCCATTGAAAAAAATTGGTGAATAAATATTTTACAAAATATATGGAAAGACTGATGATGAGTGCTATTTTAAGCATATGCTCCGCAGGCCACTGCGGTGTTGAGACCTCTGCTCTAAGTAAACAGACAACGCTGATCCCCAGTTTACACTACATGYGTCTCYGCTCCGCTGCGGCCCGACCTCAGCATCAAATACATTATAATCAATGAGAGTATTTACACTGGCTCCGCACRGCGGTGGTGAGCGGACAGATCCACCAAAATTTGATCCAATCCWATTTTTRCCAGACGCCGGAGCTGCTCYTGAGTCAATCTACAAAGATCACGTCGCACCAACAGGAAAAGGMATAAGCACAACATACGTATTTTCAAAATAAGACACCATAATGTTGATTAATTTTGTCGAAATCCCAGCTATAGTAATAAATATATAGATATATTTCTACACAAATCCTGTCAGAATGTATCATTCTGTTTGGGAAGCAGATGATAACATGTTGCATGAAGCATATGTGTACACACGCCGATACACGTGGATTTTATTTTGAAATCAGAAGTTTCAAAAAGATGAAGCGATACAGTTTCAGCTGGGTTTGGAGTCCATCTTCCACAGAATTAATTATTTTTTGCTTTGACTTCCACATTTATCACTGGATTTATCGCACAATCTCCTTCCTGCACACGCTTCCTCCTCTGTGTGTCGCACCGGAGCGCAGCTGAGCGGAGGGGAYGCTATATAAATTGGAGTGCAAACGAACAGCTGCAAACTGCACACCACAGCACAGTGGAGCAGAGTTGCATGTAGTGTAAGTCCGGGGTTTGGCTGGTGGGTGGACATGTAAAGACTGGCAGTCCGCCAGGGCAATAAAATACTGGAGGAAACCCTGTAATTACGAAGCTTTTTAAATTGCTATTTGAATTTCATGAAGATATCATGAAGATTTCGTGGAGATACTGAAGTAAAAAAAATACAGTACATCTCAGTAATTAGAAGCTCCTAGGTTGTTTTTTTTWATTTTGTGTACCTTTGTTTTCTTTTGGCATTGGAGTGAATTTACATACTGAATTAAAAATAGACCCATTTCATGGCAGATATTTTGATTTCAAAGAGTAAAACATAAGCATACCAATATAAGCTACAATCCATTTTTGCATTTGTGCCAACTGGTTGCTTTGTAGAACTAAAGGCCTCCACATACTCCACCCAAAGCCAATCAGTCAATGCGTGGTYACGTGGTKGTTCAGCATTCGTTTTCACACACGCACCTTTCATAGCCCCYGAGACACACCGAGCCAAGCTCCTGGGATACGTCACTGCATGGGGTTGCTTCCCGYTGGAGACTACATTCCTGTGGAAAAACAAAAACAAAATTGCGATCCGCCATTTGTCCACAAATCTGTCCTGGTTAAAGCTCAACACTTTTCTGCAAGTACATTCCTCCGTGCATGGTGTCTGTTTTACCTCCATGAGTTTATGGCCGTTTAGCTATCTTTGTAAATGTCTGCTCCCGGGTATAACAGTCGGCTTCTGGAAACGAGTAGTTGAAGCAAAATGCAGCCTCCRWGTACTTTCAGCACAAATAAACACAGCCATAAACAGGGCTGTGACAAAAAGGGCGGCAGATTCAAAGCTGCAAACAGCATAAMCCAATTTTCACAACTGTGACAATGAGAACTGATTGTAACAGTTCAGATGAATCATGCAGTGGCCTTTGGGTAAGCAAGAGTTCATTTTTCAATTCAAAATGTCTAATTTAAAGTTGTCCTTTTTAACTAACTTGAGTCGGACATTAATAATAGCTCATTTAATAAATTTGTAACTGTTACAAAGGTTTTTTATTTATCTGAATTCTATAGGAAAATGTACTTGAGGGAAAATTGCATTTAAGCAAATTAACTCATTTAATTTAAGCATCAGAAAATYAATGAAACCAAAATGGGGAATAAAATATTTCAAGTCATTGTCTTACTTTACCTCTATTCTTGAGTTTATTTTCAGATTTTAGTGTGTGTGCACTTGGCTGTGCTGAGTTATGAGTCCAGCCCTGCRGTACTGCTGCTATATGTGTGTTTAAGCTACATCAGAACAGAGTTACWGCAGCTCTCCCATTCTCCCCACTACATTAACTTCCCCTTCATCCTTAAATGTGTCCCCGCATGCCTGGCACAGCACAGTGTCCAGGGAAAAGATATCTGTTTTGTCCTGTACCCCTCTCCCACACTTGCTTTTTCTCCTTTACACAGATGACCAAGGGGGAGGGAAAGGGAGCAAGAGTTGGGGTTGGGGGGTATGTAGGGGGAGCTGGGCGTATGACAAACGGGCTGCGAGCAGCGAATCGAGAAGGACGCAGATGTCAAAGCCATGAATCTAGCAACACCCGCGCACACTACCACTCTCCTTTTTTTTCTTCATCTTTCTCCTTATCACACCCTGCTTTGGGTTTTAGTTAGTCTCCGTCTTATAGACAGCCTTGTCCAGATTCTGTTCAGTCAGCACCTCTCCCCTCACCTAGCTCACACAATTACTCACGTCAATCAGAATAAAATGAAGTGACAAATCTGTTTGCATGTGTAAGTGTGTAAATAAGGGAGTGTGCAGTCATCAGGTCTGGCGACACTCACAGGGTCACAGGCAGGTTTGAGCTAAGAGAGRCCATGAGTTGCCCATCACAGAGCTGTCACCATCTATTCACACATTTTATGGGTAGATGTCTTGAAGGTTGTGAGACTGTGCACCGCTTAACTGGAAAACTAAAAAAAAAAAATTCTAAAAAAAAAAAACTCGCTGAAAAGTTTATATTTTTAAATCTATGAAACTTGTGAAAAAGTATGAAATATGATGCATAGCTGTATACTGTAAAGTCACAATGTATTTCAAATTTTCACACATTTTTGTGTCCTGTTTCAGTCTTTCCCTTAAACTGTAAAAGTATACCTACAGTACAAATGCATGAAAGTTGGAGCTAGAACTACACAAAGTCTCTATGTCCTCAAGGATTCTTTTTGGTTGAAGAAACTAGAACTGGTGTTGGTCCAGACCCAGATTTAGTGGGTTCAGTGGGTGCGCTCGAACCAGCTTTCTGGATAAAATGGGTGCTTGGAAACTCCCCAAAGGACAACATTCCGGGCATGTTTTCTGCTCGCTTCAGTTCAGTAAGGAATGCTGATGCATAACAACAAACCAAGCCTCCCTGATATTTTCGAGAAAACGCATGGGCAAATTTTTGTTTTATTTACCTGTGCTTTGTGTAGGCATTTATTGTCTTGAGTTCTGGTGTTAAGGCGACAAAAAAGCTAATTTTCAGCCAAGAACTAAGGAAAGTTTTTTTTTTCTGAAAGCACATTGTACTTGCTAGTGTTCCCATTCAGTACACTGAGATCTAATTTGAATACAGATTTGCTCCTATACACCTATAATCTACTTGTATA